TTTCCAGGAGATCATTCTAGGTTTGCAGCCTTCAAGGACTACAAGAGGACACAAATAATGAGAGATAAGGAGCATGACATCTTGTTGGCTACCCTTTAAAATCTGAAATTGCTTGTTAGAAGAGCAGGAAGCAACTTCCTTCCTTCCCATCATTAAAAGTAAAGGGAATAGAAAATGTAGAGGACATTGAAACTCAGTGTGGTTTAAGTCTTTATTTGGGGTGGAAAGAACCACAAAGACCAGAACACTACTTTATACACAAGGCTACACAGGGCCAAAAACATGGTGGATGTGCAATAAATAGATATTGATCATCATAGCAGGTTCCAGAAAAGTTGAGTAAAGTGTGTCAACATTGTCAATTCTTTTACTTGCTTGCAGAAACCAAATCATGGCAAAATACTATTCCCTGGTTGTATTAGTTTGCTAGGGCTGCCATAATATATACCAAAGTATTAGTGGCTTAAACAACAGAAATTTGTTTTCTCATTGTTCTAGAGATCAGAAATCCAAGGTCAAGGTCCCAGCAGGCTTGCCCTCTCCTGAGGCCTCTCTCCTTGGCTTGCAGTGGGTGGCCTTCTCATTGTGCCTAAACATGGTCTTCCTTCTGTGCTCCCACATTTCTGTGTACTAATCTCCTGTTCTTATAAGGACACCAGTACTATGGGATTAGGGCCCACCCATTTTACCTTATTTACCTCTTTACAGTCCCTGTCTCCAAATGCATTCACATTCCGAATTACTGGTGCTGAGGGCTTTAATATATGAATTTCAGAGGGACACAGTTCAGTTCATAACACTGTCCATTAGAAGCAGAACTAAAACTGGAACCCAAAGTTTCTAACCCTAGAACATTAATTTGCCTTTGATTCACATCCTTTCCCAGGTTAAATAATCTCACAGAATTGTAGTTTATGCTAATTGGAAGGCATCTCATGGTGATCTAGTTGTAGCTCTCATTAGCCAAATAAGGAAGCTGAGTCCTCATGGTCTTGCTGAGAATCATAGAACCCAAGGTGGCACCCCCCCCCCAACTAACCCCTCTCCCCTACTGGGGGTGTTTCTTGGATTCCAATCTCCCAAGCTCCTAAACTCAACACCAGAGTCAATTGCTAATGACCAGGCTCTGGATTGCAAATCGATGGCCCAAGGAAGCAGCCTGGTAGGGGCTGGTGAGGGAGCAATAACCATGGAGCAAGAAAGCCCCCACCCCTTTCCCTTTGGAAGCAGTTAGAGGGATAAGCTGGCTTTAATGAGTCTTCCTGCCCCTTTCCCTTCATTCTCTCCTTTCTTAGGCTCCTCCTTATGGCAGCTGTTACCAATTTCAGCAATTTTCTTCTGGCAAATTGAAGGCTCCAGGTGACAAAGGGAGTTGGCTGTATCCTCCTGGAGGATGAGATAGCCTGGGTCCTAATCCCACCCCACCCCTGCTCCCAGACAGGGTGGTTAGGGCTGCCGGCACTCCCCGGGTGGGCATCCACAAGCCTCCCTACCCCGTGCGTCGTGTGTGCAAACAGGTCCAGCTCAGAAACCCTAGCTGAAAGGGAGTCCAGATCAGTCCTCACTTCATTCTCAGCTCATCTGTTTCTCCAGGACCACCAAGATTTTATTATTTGCATGATCCTCGGCACAAATACCCATTCTGGCTCTTAAAATTACAGGAAGAGAAGGAAATAGGAGGCATCCATGCGTGCGTGTGCACAAACACATGCACGCGTGCACACACACACACAACGCTGAAGAGTTTGGTACAGAACTAACAGAGGACACCTCCATCAGTAGACCACACCCATGGTGCCTGGGGAGAGGGAGGATCTCTTGATCCCTGGTTAAACCATTTATGTAAAAAGGAAGTCCACACATGAGCACTGACTTCCTCCAACCCTGCAAAGCAGAAAATGAATTAACGACACTCAGGTGAAATGTGCCTGTCCGTTTACCCCTAATAACAATGTGATGGTTTTGTTTTGTTTGTTTTATATTCCCTTATTGTTCAGAAAGAAGAGCCAGAGTTAAGTAATTGTCCCCCTTCTCTGACTGTCAATTTCAGTGTGGACACGGGGATTCCCCCAGAAAAAGAAACATCTCAACACCTGCCTTCAGGGAGCTGACAATCTAAGGAAGGGAGGCCAACCTTGGATAGATAGGTCTACAGATAAGGATGAGAGTTTAAAATCTGAAGCAGGTACTCAAGTGGTCTCCTAGAAGTCCCTTTCAAGAAAAGAAAGGAGACAGGGGGGTGAAAAGAAAACAACTTCAAATCTCCAGCTGTCCTGAAAAGAACCTCTCTTTAAAGAGCATGACACCTGTGTGGGATGTATTGTCCGACAGAGGAGCACCTTCTGTTTTATTTGTGGTTGTTCGGAATAGTGTTTGTTCCCTTTGGGAAGGAAGAGGACCTCTCCACCGTATCCCAGGAATAAAAATATTGGGGGAACTCACTCACGTACTTCAGTCCCCTCCCCTCCCCAAGCCTGTCTTGTTTTCCTAAGCAATGGTCAGGAATGTGCTGGGCGGGGGTAGCCTGGCCCTCAGCCCCGAGCCCAGGCAGCCCCAGTCACGGTCCCAGGCTGGCCTTTCACCCCAGAGCTCTCCCTGCTGCTCTTATTAAGCAGCAAAATGTTTCAATATGTTGAGCTTTGGGGGAGGGACAGAGAGAAAAATCGGGATATTGTTGAGAAGGAAATAATGAATAACCCTGCCGCCAGTCTTCATACCCCCCACGTGGGGAGATCTGGGTGATAAGTGTGCTTTCTCCAGAAATGGAATCCTAGCAATTGCTTTTGGTCAGAAATTTCCAGAGCCAGTTGAGGGGTGGGGAGTGGGGAGGCGGAGAAGAGGGAGCAGGTACCAAGTTAATTTTCTCAGTGTCCGGAACCAAAGCAGTCAGGGGTCTGGGTACCCAAGAAAGAACGGACAGGGGAAAGCTTGAGAAACTGAGGCTAATTCTCAGAGGTGACAAAGCTATGGTTTTGTTCTCACAAACTGACACACTCTCTACCCTTACCTGTCACCCCCTGCTTCCCCCTACTTTGCCCCCCCCCCCCAACACACATACCCAAGTTCAGCTACTCTGGTCCCTGCCAAGTGTTCTGGGCAGAAGCCTGGTGCGCAGCTCCTGGTTACTGGAGACTCAGGAGAAGCAAAGTCATGGAAGGGTGTGGAAACCACCCACCCAGGAGGGAGCACACAGGCAACTCATCAGCATGGCAAGGCCCAGCTGTTTTGTGGAGAATGGCCCTGGATTGGGCAACTAAAACAGTGAATGTGGATAGGGACTCAGAAATCTGAGCCCCATTCAAGACCAGGGCTTGAAGTGAAGAAATGAGCCAGATTCCAAAATTTTATTAAAAAAACACAAACTCGAGGACCCAGAAACGACTCCTGAGTGAGGGTCTTGTTAAATGTTTTAAAATTGGAACTCAATAATAGGGTTGCTTCTGACATTTGCAAATCTCCTAGCTCTTATAGATGATGCCTGGAAAATGTGGGTCAGAAAAGGATGTATTCTAGGGGAGGTCCAAATAAAGGGAAGAGTCACCTGTAAGTAAGCCGAACTTAAGGGCTTGAAAGAGCCTAGAGGATTTCCATCATATTGTTTAAGTCTGAGAAATAATTATTTGCACAGCAACCACTTAAAACTAATCACATAAAAGCAGGCCTGGGTCTCAATGTCTCCTCTTGGCTTTACATTTGTGATATGTGTGTGGTTCCCAGTGTTCCTTGACATTTCCTAGCACCGCCGTGAGGTTTCTGGAAAAGCAGCAAGGGGCAGATGGGTGGCTGTCTATTAGAACAATTCATCAGACAGCAGTTGAAATATTGATAAGAAAACGGAAATCAAATTAAAAGACGGGAAAAGAGAGAGGAAGGGGGAGTGGGATGAAGAGAGGCATCAGGGAGGAAAGCTGCAGGGCTGCAGGGCGCACAGACCAAGGAGTCGTTTCTACACCCTCCCACCCCCCCAGCTCAAGTAGGGACTGAGGCTGGCTGGGTGGATACGCTGCAGAGAAAAGCACATTTTGATTCCCGGCAGCCAGCAGGTTTAATTGGGCACCGAGGATCGGGGGACTCTGGGCGCAGAGAACTAGCACTCAGACCTCGAACATCCTGGAGTTGCTGGAGTTCCGCTCCTGCTGGCTGAACAGGAAAAGGTGTCTAAGGTGAGTGTTCATGTGTGCGGGATCCCTAGGGGAATGCGGGGGTCGGGGGTGGTGCCTCTCTCGCCAACGGCTACATGCTCCAGTTGCAGCAGAGAAATGGGAGGCTTTCTGGAACTTTTTCTTTCATTCTCTCCGGGGAGCTTTCTTTTCTCTCCTCTTTCCCCCTCTCCCTCTCACTTCCCTTGCAAATTTCACTCCAACTTTCAAAGAAAATGGGGGACACTCTCAGCAAGGACCCCGGGATAGAGGCAGGGAATGGGAATCTAGGAGCCCAAAGGAACATACCTGGTCCCTGAACTCGTGTATGTATGTTGTGGCTTCAGGAGCCAAAAAGCTGGAATTTGTTAGTGGAGAGAAAAAGTGCTTTATCAGAAACACATTGGCTGCGGGAGAAGCTGCACATTGCCACGTTAAAGATGGTTTAAGAGAAGGAAGGGGAGAGGGAAGAGACAGCCGCTGGACTTGGCAAGGCAGGGAGAGACTCACGCAGAGGCACCTGGCATCCTAGGGTGGTTTTTGCACCCGCCAGCCCAAATTTTCAGACTCAGACACCATCTCCTCTGCCTCTAGAAATAAGGCTGTGTCACTCTGCCGTAAAACTGTTTTCTTTAAGAAGCAGGGGCTGGGGGAAAGGGCCTCCCTAGACCTCCAGAAGCTTCTGCCCAAGTCTTCCTCCCCAAGCCAGTAACAGGGAAGAGGGGGGCAGCTGGACACTGGAGGAGCCCTAGGGTCCTAGGGGAGCCAGGCAGAAGATCTGTGCCCTGAGGGCCCGAGCTTGGCAGCTCCGTAAATATCTGGTTCCCTGGGGTCTTGGGCTGCATCCGTGGGGAGACCTACCTCTATCCCGGCAGCGTTCTCTCTTCTGGCTCGGACGGGCCCCCGGCCCCGGTGTCCGCAGGTGTGAAGCCACCCAGGCCCGGGGGAAATGCGTGTCTCCGATTGTGGGTAGGGGAGGGTTACGGGGCTGTGGGAAAGAGACCCAGTGGCGTCAGCTGGCTCTCAACCTTCACCATCTCGTAACCCGAGGTCTGGAGGCAGAGGCGCAGGGCAGGTGCCCAGTACGCAACCATTCAGATCCTCCCTAGCTGGCCCAGGAGGATCCGAGCCTCCCAACTCTCGCGTCCTCTCCCTTTGCGTTCCTCCTCCATCACCAACCCCACCCCACTCCCCCACCGTCTCACCCGTGTGGTACTGTCGGTGACTGAGGTTTCTCCTACCCAGATTGGTCCTTGGGCCTTCCCGACCCTTCCTCACCAACCGAGGATGTTTCAGACAGTCCCAGACACATCGTCTTACGTCAAGGTAAGACATGACAGCGTCTTTAAACAGGTAATGACCCCCCACCTCCTCCCCACGCCGCCACTCTGCCACCCAGGCCTGTGGTCCCTCCATCCCCTTTCCCGGGTCAGCGGGTGGATCTGGAGCCCGGGGCGCTCCCAACCAGATGAGGGTGGCACAGACCCTCGGGAACCCTTGACTGAGGAGGCACGCTCTCGGGCCGGTACTGTTTGGAAGACTGGAAGTGGGTGAGCCTGGTGAAGGCTGGGCAGGGAACGGAGAGCCAGTGTCCGATCCCAGTGGGTCTTGCGCTCGCGCCGCGGGCGCGCAGCAGGTTTCAAGTTAAGGGTCTGCGTGTACTTGGGAGTGTGCATGTGAGCCCGTGGGCGTGTGTGCGCGGGTGTGTGAATGCGACGCTCTCCTCCCACCGGTTCGACACCCCGTCGGTCCTCAAGCCCACCTTCCTCGGCCCCACCCGCCCGTCCAAAGCGCAGATTGCTATATTTGACAACATATAGAACGTTGGGTTTTTTTGTTGTTTTTTTTCACTCACAACAGTTCCCAAGAATGTAAACAAACCGAGGCCGGGACATCTGGGTTACACGTTTAAAGGAAAATCCGCCGGCGGGGCGGGGCCGAGGGTGCCCGGGGTAGGGACTCCGGCGCGACCTCCCTCCTTCCGGGTAGCAGCCGGGAGCCGGGACTGTCGGAGCCTTCCCTAGTTCCGAGGAGGAGGGGCCCACCGCGCTTCTGCAAACCCACCCGTCTGGTCCTGGCCCCGCCCCCTTCTCCCTGAAGCTCCGCCCCCGAGGGGCCCCCCACCCCCACCTGCGTGCCCGCGCCGAGCTCCCTCCTGCGTCCGCGAATGCCACCGAAGTGTGGGACCGTCTGCCGGCACGTGGCCACCGCGATGGGGTGCGACTCTCAGGAAGCGCCACTTTTGCGTTCGGCCCTCGTCTCATTTCTCTAAAGGGAAATTTGTTGAGACAGGGTAGCAAGGCCCCCATCCCCACCCCCTCCCGAGGTCTAAAGGAGTTTTATAGTCACTTTGGGGAGGACAGGTCCTGGAGCCTTGGCGCGGGTAAGAGGTGTTTAATCTGTAATGAATGAACGAAAAATAAGTGAATCAATGTATCGACAATCAGTCAATGGATGGCTGGACAGACGGCTCCCAGGAGGTGGTGGAGCGTACAGTGGGAGACTAAAGCGCGCTGGGGTTCGCGGCGTCCGGGTGTCCGGAGAGGTTAGGCAGGCCGTGACCCCTCCCACCCCGCCACTCCCAGTACTCCGAGCTAAGGGAGCTCTCACTTCCAGCTCTGCCCCAAAGGCTGCAAGTGGCCCCGGGGTGGGGAGGGGCAGTCTCTCTCCCACCCACAGCCCTCCCACCCCCACCCCAAGCCCTGTCTGCACACACCCGCGGACCCAAAACCTCGGGATGACGAACCCCAGAGGGGCAAGTTGGAGCCCAGGAGACTGACCCAGGCCGAGAGTCAGAGAGAAAGCAAACCGGCCCAGGAGAGCAGAGAGGTCCGGAGTGGGCAGCAGGGAGAGAGGCGGCAGTCTAGGAGCTGTGGTCAGCCAAAGGAGCCGCTCGCCGCAGGAGCTCTTTTCAAGGGGCAAAAAATGGATTTTTCAGCAGCCACAAAGTTTGTATTGTTGCACAAAGGGGTGCATTGATGGCGGCGAAAGGTCTGCGTAGCAGGGACAATCTTGGGTCTGTTCCTCCGGCTCCCTACATCGACCATTTGCCAGAGGGGCACAAACAGTTCCCTGCTGCCAAGCCCCTGCCATTCTGCGTCAGGAACCTCCGAGGTTGTTGACAAACACCGCGCGGGCCCAGGCGCCCAGGCCCGGAGCCTGGAGCCCAGCCGGGCCGCAGCAGCAAAGGGTGCCCACTCCACCCGGCAGCGATCTGGGTTCTGAGAACCCACAGAGTGCTCTGGGAGTTTCCGCAGGGGAGCGGTGAGGGCGGGTCTGAGGCTGGAAAGAGCAAGGGAAAGGGAGAGAGGGAACGGGGTGACTCTTTAGGACAATGACATCGCAGTAGGTGAATAATGGTGGTAACGTTAAGGTAGCCCTTACCTTTGCCAGGCCCTGTTCTAAATATTGCATTTGTACTAACTCAATATTAATAACAACCCTAGGAGGTAAGCTATTTTGCAGATGAGAAACTGAGGTATTGAGAGGTTAAGGTAACACAGCTTGTAAGGGATGGGGCCAAAATACAAATAATAAGGGCAAAATTGTGCTGTCAGGCAAGTTCCAGACACTCATTTCAGGTTTACGACAGCCCTTTGAGGGTTAGGTCCTATTACAACACCAATGTACAGATTGAGGCACAGAGAGGTTAAGGAACTTGTTCGAGGCCACAGAGCTGGTCCATGCAGAGCGGGAATTCAAACCCTAGGTCCCTCAGTGAGACTTTCGACCTGGATATTCCACTTGCAGATATGGGGATTCATCCTGCCCCCGCACTGTGCAAATCCCTTGTCAATCCCAGCGCGGGGAGCACAACCCGGAAAGCCCCTCGCCCACCCCACGAAGACTGGCTGGGTCCTCGACTTTCCCTCTTTGCGAGTCTCCCAGACTCCTTGCTCCCGCTGCCTCACCACGTAGCCTGCTGATTCAGCCCATGCTGCATTCTGGAGGAGACACCCCCCCCCCCAAACCAGACCAAAGGAGGCTTATAGCCCCAGAATGTTCACAGCGACACGGCTCAGGAGCAGCATCTGGCCGGCAGGTCCTGCAGCGGCGTTTCAAGGACGCAGGTCTGTACTTAGAATAAATGCCGTTTGGGGCTGACGGAGATCCGAGAGGCTGAAATGCTCCGGTCCCCGCCCCAGGCCCCGGTCTAGGCGCCGCCGCTGGGTGAGAGTCCCGGCACCTGGCTGGTCTCTACCTCTTGTCAGCCTGCGCTCTCTGCGCTCTCGGACTCCCTCGGGATTTCCTCGTCGACGCCGCGTGGTCTGGGGACCCGGCCCCGAGCGCCTGGGGCTCGGGGCGCAGAGACCCTCCCCCAGCCGGGCCAGCCGACCCCCGGCCCTCCCGCCGCCGCGGCCTCCCACGTAGCGTTTTGAACCCGCTTGGCGCTAAGGCAAGAACGAGCGTGGGGAGCGGGCAGGGCGAGCAGAGGCTCTAAATCTTCCTTCAATCTCTGAGTAGATGAAGTCTGAGAAACAAATTCAAAGCAGGCGCGCCTGCAGAGCCTTCCTGCAGAAATATTCCCCGGCATTCAAGCGCATCCAGGGGCGGCTCGAGCTGCCTTGTTTGGCTAAGGTCAGACGAGACTCGAGTTCTCCAATAAAAATAAATCTCAAATTAATTATGGCCTCGAGCGAGGGGCCAGACACTTGAAGCTGCAGTTGTGCAGTCTGGAGTTTTGGCGCTCGCTCGCCCGTCCCTCCCCCGCGCTCCCGCCTCCCCCCCCTTCGCCCCCCCCCATCCCCCCGTTGCCAGCTCGAATACCAGCCGAGGCCGCGCTGGACCCGAGGGGCGGGAGAGGAGGGAGGACGGAGGGGAAAGGATCCGCCCGAGACGCTCTGCCAGGCCTGGCATCTTTCGGGGTTTCAAGTGACGGAGCAGTCCCCGGGGCTGGAGGCACCCCGGGGACCCGGCTCCGATTGTCGCGTCCTCCCACCCCCAACCTGGGCTGGGACCAAAGAAGCCCAGGAAGTCGCGTCTGGAAAGTCTTGACCGGGTCAAAGGGGCTGACTTTGAGCGAGCCAAGACACGTTTCACCCCGCCGCACCCCTCCCGGGGGGAAGCAGGACTTCCGCATCTTTGAAAATACTGTCAAGTGCGGACGGTGCGAGGCAAGCCGTCCGACCAAAGTTCCAGCGAAAATGCTCGAAATCCAAATATTTCCTAAATATTCGCCCTCCATGTGCATGCTTTCTGTACGTGACCCTAGGCTTAGAAATGTGTCATGAGTTGTTTTGTGGGTCCCCCAATTGGTAGCTTTTGTTTTAAAAGCTGGCCGGGCTTCCTTGGCTGCGAGAGCTCCCCGACTTGAAAGCCAGTCGGCGCTGGTGGAATGGGCGCTGATGGTCGCAGGCACCAGCTCCTGGGCACCAGCCTTGCCCAGTCTGGGAAAGGCAGGCAGGACAGTCTGGTGAGCCAGGAAAGAGGGTGTGTGCAAGCGTGTGGGCTGGGGTAACCAGTCCCCAGCTAAGCTAAAAGAAGGGAGAGGGAGAGAGAAAGGGGAGGGAGAGTGGGGAGAAGGGGAGGGGTTGCACCTCCCCAACGCAAAGACAGTTTTCATTCGTAGCGGGCCTTACCACAGGCTCTCTATCAATTTGTCTCAATGCAAACATTCAAAATATTCTCTTTGGCTGCTCGTGAAAACAATGTGAGCTGCCAGGATCAAACCATCTTTCCAGATGTCTGGTGGTAACCACATGAAACAGGGCAGACTTGTTGACTGTTGTGTTTGGTTAGGGCTTTTTCCCCCTTCGGGATTTAAAATAGAAGCAGCAGGAGGAGTTGAGCTTCAAACCCAGAGTTACGTAAGTGGGGCAAACTTGCCCACCAGCATGTCAATATGGGGTGAAGGGAGCCTCAAATCCCTCAGAGAGCTGTTGTTCCCGGTTGGGGGGGGGTTCTTTCTAGGTGGAGGACCTCGTGAATGGACAGGAGCTCCTCACGGAGGGGCTGGTAAATAGCAAAAGGCATGGCGTCAGTGCTAGTCAATGAGTCACAAAGGGGTGACAGTTATGCCAATGTCACCCTCTCCCCCCCATCTTCAAAATTATGAAATAGCCATAGCTTTGGTTTTCCTGGGAGAAACAGAAAGTGCTATTGAGTTCCACAGCTAAAACAGGAGGGCAAGTCCTCATTGTAATGTAGTTTCCCACTGAGCAACTCTCAATGGGAGAGGAAGCTCCTGCTGAAAGGAGTTGGGGGTGCTAGGGGTGTGAGGGTGAATGTCCTGATCAGTGCAGTGAAGGTAAGAATATGCTCTTGGCCAGGCCTCCTAGGAGTAGGGAAGAGAAACCTAGCCAGTATTTCTGCCATGGAGGTGCCTTCTCCAGCACTAGGAGGAGTGTGGAAGGAAGGGGGAGCGTCCGGCTGGTGTGGGGTGGCCATTAACAACCTCAGTGCTTGCCCAGGACCAGGAAGGGGGCCTCCCGGTGGTGGAGTTGAAATCCCTTCTGCCTGAAAGAGGGGCAGTGTGGCTGGGGGTGCAGGGTTTCTGGCCAGGTCTGGGTGGGAAGCGGTCTCCCCGCACCCTCCTGAAAGCCCTGTTGTCGTTTGAAGGCCGGCAGAGTCTGGGCTGAAAAGGAAACAATTTGGGGTTTGAAAGGATGTAATTCATTCTTCCTTTCCCTTTAACCTCTTTCCTCTCTGGAAAGCATGTGGAAAAGCTGAAGGGAAGAGGGAGAGGGCAGGCGGCCGGCCGAGGGAAGGAAAGGGTTAAGCCTGATTTCTTTTAATTGAACTCCAGAACTGGTGGCCCCAGGCAAAGGGGGGGGGGGACTGACCCCGCTAGCGGTAACCAGATGTGGCGGTCCCAGGGGAGCCCCGGAGCAGACCCCTGGATTGAGAAGCAGACAGGAGGTGGGGGGGGTCGGCCCGGCCCCCATCCCACCCCCACCCCACCCCCACCCCACTCCCCCATAAGCACACCGAGTCTCAATTGCTGGCAGGCTGCACCCGCCACTCCAGGTCTGGTCACGTTCAGACCCGCGTCTGTATTCGAACCCAAAATTGGAGCTGAATTGATGAGACTAATTTCGAGAGGGGGGTGGGAGGAGGGAGGGAGGGAGGCGAGCTAGCTTTCTGGCTCAATTGCTCCAGAAGAAATAAAGAATTGATAAGTCACCTTTTTCGCCGCTGTGGACACCCTTATGAATTTTTTTTTTTTTTTTTTTTTTTCTTTCCAATTGACTCGGATCTCCTCTGGATTTTTTTTTTCCTCCTTCCCCGGGTGGACTCTTAAATAAAAGTGAAAAAGTCCAAAGCGTGGTCTGGAGAGCGTGGAAAAGGTAACCTGTCTTGGAGGTTGGGGAGAAGGGAGTCAGGCCGAGAGCGCCCGGGGGTGGGGTGGGGTCCCCTCGCTGCGCCTGGACTCCTGAGGCTGCCCCAACTGGAGCGTTCGGCGGCACTGCGGGGGGACGGGGGGAGGTCTCCGGATGGCGGGGACCGACAAGGCGGGCCGAGGGCCGGCTGGCCTCCTGGCCGGGTGGGGATGGTGGTCCCGAGCGCTGACCCCGGGGGCTCACCCGGGGGGAAGTCTGAGTCTGTGCGGCGATCTTGCGTGCTGCGCTTTGGAGACCTGCGGACCAGCGTGGAGGGAACGTCCTGCGGTAGTGTAGGTTTCTCGGCGCTCGGAGTAGCACTGCATAGGCGGCTCTGGCCGAGCGCCGGGACTTGGGCCATCCGGTCCAGGTAAAGTGCGAGGGGTCTGACCCTAGAAGGCGCGGATAGGTGGCCTAGGGTGCCGCCGGTCCCGGCCCCGGGAGGGCGCCGGGAGCTCTCCAGGAGCAAAGGGCCGAGGCGCGCTGTCCGGGGGCGCCCTTCTGCTAACAATGCGCTGGGAGCCTAGTCCGCGCCCCCGACGGTGGGATCCTTCCGAAACCGCCCCGAGTCCGCGTCGACCGGTGAATCGCTCCGAGTCTGCCGCCCCTCGGCAGCCCAGGGCCCGAGTGGAAAAATTCCCACTGGATGCATTTTTTTAATGGTTGGTTTGCGTCGGTCTGCGTCCCGATCTTCCCGGGCAGTAGGCTCCAGGTTATCCCCAGCCCGAGTAAACTCTCCCCCCCGCCCCCCCAATAAGTTTGACTCCGGCTGGAAAAAGCATTAATGAACGTATCTGTGGGAAGAAACGGAAAGTGAATGAGTCAGGAGGGCCACCTTCGGGCCAAAGGCCCCGGGAAAAGGAAGGAGGCCAGAAAGACATTTGGTTTTGGACTTTTGGGGAAGGGGGTGGGGGTGCAGACTGCGGGAATCAGGGCGCGGGCGCCGGGCGTGGACCCCGGCATTGTTCCCAGCTCGCTCTTATCTCCCAGGAGCAAGTATCCTGTGTGCGCAGCGCATGAATGTATCTGGGCATCTCCGGGTATATTTATATAGTGTGTGTGATGCGAAAAGCAGGACCAGCAGAGGGGAGGAAGAGGGGGTGTGGGGGGAGGGAAGACGAGGGAGAGCAGAGGGGAGAGGAGAGGAGAGCGCGAGACAGAGAGAGAGAGAGAGAGAGAGAGAGAGAGAGAGAGAGAGATAGGACTTCCTCCCCGATTCGCAAAGTGAAGTCACTTCCCAAAATTAGCTGAAAAAAAGTTTCATCCGGTTAACTGTCTCTTTTTCGCTCCGCTACAACAACAAACGTGCACAGGGGAGCGAGGGCAGGGCGCTCGTGGGGGGCACGCAGGGAGGGCCCAGGGCGCCAGGGAGGCCGCGCCGGGCTAATCCGAAGGGGCTGCGAGGTCAGGCTGTAACCGGGTCAATGTGTGGAATATTGGGGGGCTCGGCTGCAGACTTGGCCAAATGGACGGGACTATTAAGGTAAGCGATGGGACAGTGGGCGCGGGAGCGGCGGGGCCGGCCGGGGCGGCGAGGCAGCGGGCAGGCTTGGCGCGGGGCGCCGGGGTCCCGGAAGACGTGGCCACTCTCCCTTCCTTCCGTGCCCCGGCTTCGCGCCGTCTGCTCCCGCGCTCGGGTGGCGACTCTCACTCGCGGGGGCGACCCTCCGGGCTCACCACAGACAGCGATCTCCCCCGCACCCCTTGTCGCAAAGCCGCGTCCGGCCCCCCACCTACGCGCTGCGGGCCGGGCTGCGGGCGGGGGTCCGCGGGAAACCTAGGGACCTCGGGCGCGGATCCAAGCCTGGGGCCGGACACCTCCGGGTCCACCACTCCCACCCGGCAAGCTGGGCGCCTTGGCCCCGGCGCTGGGCACTCGCCTGGCGGCCGGCTTCCTCTTACCCGAGGCCGAGGGCGACGGGGGAGGGAGCGGCAGCCGCCACCCGCTCGGGTCCCCCGGCCTGGAGGGCCCTGGGGCGGGCAAATGGACGGGTTGCAGGAGGCTCGGGGTGCAAGTGAGTGTGCTTGGGGGTCTGTCTGAGCGGGCTCCTCGGATGGAAGTCCCTGTTTACATGTCAGCGCGGGCTGGTTTCCCTTCCTCTGGGTACTTGTGTTGCTGAGCTCTCGGCGCTTCAGAGCGGCCGGCTTCCCGGGACTGACGGGCCGGCCTCTGCGCTCCGCGGGCCGGGGATCTCTCTGCAGCCTCGGTCGGCGCCGCTGCCCCGCGCCCGGCCCCGGCTCTCCGCGCCCGGCCCCGGCTCTTCGCGCCCAGGCGTGCGCAGGCTCCAGCGCAAGGACACCACCGTCCTCCCCAAGAGGGTCCCGCGCCCTGCAGAGCCGCTTCTCCTGCGGTGGCCGGGTCTGAGCCGACGGCCCCGGCGACCGCCCTGCCAAATCCACCCCCCCTACCCCGCCCTCACCCCACACCTCACGCCAGGCTCTAAGTTGCAAAATGCAGCCCAGAGGGATGGATGAGGGTCTGGGTTTCGTGTTAGACTTCAGGAGTGTTGATTGCCTTCTCCTTCTGGAAGCGGGAAGTGGGGCCGGGAGCCGAGAGGAGGGGCACCCCCTAAAGTGACTGACCTTAGAGGACCGAGAGGAATGAATGGGACCTGGGGTCGGCTTCCAGGCTGTCCCGCAACATCAAGCAGGAGTCAGTCTGGAAAAACTATTAGGCTGGTGAGGTGGGGAGTGGCAGAACCCGCCATTCCCCAGAACCCAAAGGAATCAACTCCTCACTCAGGGCTGAGTTAAGAGGAGAGGAAGATGTTGTGCTTGGAGAATTTAGGAGATTTTTATCATTTGGGTGAAGTAGTGGTTTTTATTTTCTAAGGTTTTTTTCTGAAAGTTTGAAACATGCTGACTGAGGTAAAAGGCACCAACAGAAGGAACTTGAAAATCTGGAGATGAGATAACTGATTGTACTGAGTTAAGGGGAGCCAGTGCGAGTCTGGGTTCGTCCAGTTTAAAGTGTGTGGGGGTGAGGAGTGTTCCTATGGCGAGGGTGGAGGTGGCCATCGGTCATTTATGCTTGTTTCTCTTCACGCTGGTGTGTGCCTGCAAGTGTTTGTGTATCCCTGGTTTGGTAAAAAGGATGCTCGACTCTAGAAAACTCCCCTCATTAGGACACTTACCACTTACCCAGAGGCAGTCCCTCTGATCCGGAAGGGTGGTAAGATGGCTCCGGGGTCTTGATGTGGACACCCTAAGGAGAAGTGAAGCAATATCTCCATGATGCTCAGACCTCTAAGGCCCTGAGCAAATGGAGGAAGCTGTGGTCTGTGTACCCAGGATGTGCTAACCTCTTTAGAGACACACACAAGGATTGGCATGGCAGGCAGTGAGAACAGGCTTAGGAGAGGCCCCTGGTCCTTCACGCTAAGGATGGAGGTGAAGGTCTTCTTTTTCAGGTGGGTGGTGGGAGCCTCTGAGTCCCTCCAAACCCTCCTCAGGAGCACCTTCGTCTCTCATCCAGGTGACCTGGTTCTGCAGACCCACCCACAGTGAGAGTAGTGGCTTCTCAAGTCCTGAGAAGGGACTGCAGTCCCCAAAATGCTGAAGGATTGAGTTGTTAGTGTATACTTCAGTATTTAAATTGTGTGAAAGCCACACAATTTCCTGTTCCTGTGTGACCTTTGGATCTTGAGGTTCCTAGACCCTATTCCTGCAAGGGTTCAAACGCTGTGTTTGGAGGGCACAGTGGACAAGGGGAGGCCAGTGGATTTCTAGCCTCCATGTGAGAATGCACAGTCCATTGAACCTGTTTGAACTTCAAAATCTTTGTACAAATGAGACAGTGGGACTAAATTACCTCTACAGCATATCTTTCCAATCTTCTGTTCCTAAAATATCATGTTTATATGAATTTCTAAGGACCTGTACTTGCATGTCCACGAAATCCAGTTCTATACAGATTGAGGTCTGTAGACAGAAATCTAGAATGTGTGTCTCCAGTTTGAGTGACCTTGACAAATCATCTTTGAGTAATTCTGGAATGTGATTTTTATGCACCTGCATGTTTCTTCCTCAAATATAAGGCATGTCTATATTTCAAAATACGTGGGTCTCCACACTGCGGAGGTATTTGGTCCAGGATGCCAGGGAAGTCTGGATTGCTTTGCAGAAGGTTTTTATTCTGTGCATAATTTGCACAACTCATTTTGATTTCAAAATCTTAATCTTGCTGCCCTTGTTATAAGTCCTTCCGTGTCATGTTCTCTCCTCCTTTCCAAGAATGTCTCCTGGGAAGGCTCTGAGCATCACGTTGGGAATACCAAAATTTTCAGGAGCCGTTTCACTCTTCTTTGGCCACAGACAAGTTAACCTGCGATATTAAACAACACCTACCCCACCCCTGCTCCCCACAGTTGATATTATCAGTGTTGAAAATCACGTGATCCTGGTTGCTGCTTAAGAGATGACCTGGTTTCAAAACCTGCATCTTAGTTCTAGGCAGTCTTCCATTGAATCTAGTTACTCCATCTATGAAAGCTTGATTCAATGCACATGGTACCATTAAAGACGGGGAAACAATCAGAGAAGATGCAAACGTGGTGAATGAAACAGGGAAATGCACAGCGGACTCGAAGTCAGAAAGCCTGAGTTCATTCAGAGCTGCTACTTAGTTGCCGTGTGCCCTATAGCAAGGCCCTTCAGCTCCTTAAATGTCAGTTTTCTCATCTGTAAAATGGGGCCAAAATACCCCCTTGCCA